TTTATTATTATTATTATTATTATTATTATTATTATTATTGGCCTTGCGGCTCAAGTTGGGCTGGGTTTTCTTAGACCTGAACAGTTTAATTGATTAAATAGGGATTGTGTCGGGTTGACCGGACGATGTACCAATGTTATGCAAATGCGAGTGCTTATGATGATAAGCCTTATTTAAAGTTCTCCCTCTTTATTGATTGTTTTTTGTGTTCAATTTGCAAATAATGAATTAGCTGGGCTGCCCTTTCTTTTCTTTATTTATTTTGTCTATTTCCTTCTCAAACTTCATGCCATTGAGCAACTTGTTTCCATTCAATCAAAGTTAATTTGGAGAACCCATTGTAACAAGCAGTTATTATCTTCTTCTTTTTTTTTTTTTATTAATGGTTCGTTTTATGTCAAAAGTTGTTTTATCTCAAAAGTTTGCCGAGTCTCTTAAGTTCACTTCAAATTTAGGTCTACTATGAATAATATCTCAGAAATTTTTTAATGCTCGACCAAACATTGTTGGACGCTTCAATTCATACACTTGATATTTAAGAGTTGTACAGCAAGCCTGAAGCCGTAGCTTGCTCACAGGATGGAACTGTTTCGGCAGCCAAATATCCACTTCATTTCACACTTGATTAAACCAGTGGTCAAATACGAATTAGATCATAATCTCAAGCTGTCCAATCTTCATCACTTTCCCCGATGTCCTGAGGAAAAACGGTGGACAATCAAGCGATGCACAAGCACAAGATAATATATTGGCCAAAGTCGATACGGACTGCACACATTCATCATGTTTGTTGATTGTTGATGCAACTACAGTTTAAAACCTACAATGTGTTGATACCTGCGATGTGCTGGAGAAATCTTCTATGTCGTCATCTGAGACCTACAAAACACATATAAAAAGTTATAAGCAAAACTAAACTTCATTTGAAGACGAATAATAAGGGAGGGTAGACAATAAGAGGTCAAAAGGGGTCATTTAAGCAAGCATCAACAAATCCACCGTGCTTGAGATCCTATGGTGTGTAAGAACAAGTGCCAAAATGGAAAAATGCAGACTTGCTTCCAGCATCGGATTTGAACACAGTGAAGTAATCCAATCACTTTTGAGCAAACTAATCAATCGGCGATAAATGAACTGATTGCATGGAACCACCCAAGCTTGGTAAAAAGATACAAAGTGAAACATGAATTTAGTCACGTCAAACATAATGCTACAAGGTCATTGCCCAAAATATCATCCCTCTCCATATCTCTTGGTATAATATAATTCTTTTAATGTTAATGGATTATTTTAAACACGACTTAATATGAACCAGAATAAATAAGAAACCATGTGAAAAAAACTAACTCGATGAAGAACAAGGATCGGTAGAAAAAGGACATTCTTATTGCCAAAAAAAGGCGTGCACAAGATAGGAATTTGAGAATCAAGCAGAAAGGATAAAGAATTATGAGGGAACTTGAGTCGTACCTGAGTGGAGTCATTCGGATCAGATGACTGGGAAGCAGAGACCACATTAGGTTTTCTTCTCTTTGAGGATGCTTCGGAGGTTTTGGCTTTTGTCTTCCTTTGGTAAACTGTAATAGGGCCCACTAACTCTACATTCTGAAAAGAAGGTCAGCTTACAAACTTGGACTAGATAATACATTTTCCTGTTAAGAAATTGATGTGTATGACATTCATCTAATCTTCTGATTCTGGATGAATGATACTGATATGCATAACATGATCAAAAATCAACTTCTTGCATATCACCAATTTGCAAATTGGAGAGAGCGAGGAGGAGAGAGAGAGAGAGAGAGAGAGAGAGAGAGAGAGAGAGAGAGAGAGATATGTTGATAGTAAACCAGTATGAGAAGACAAAGGAATCCGCATAGTAAGAAAAGAGCACACGTGTGCAAAAACACATTACCTTTTGTTGTCTCTTCTGCTCCTTAGTTAGAGTGCCTATAGCAACGAGAAACAGTTAGTTACTTATTTACCAACATATATCATTGAAAATAAAATCTTACACAGCAGAGGGTTTTGGAGAGATATGGACACACAGAGAGTCTAAACTGAAGCATCACAACAATGTACAAGGTCTCATACTGTTTCATGCAAGCACCATGCTAATTACATGTAAAGACAACAAACCAATGGCTTGTCAAGAAATCATTTCATCCTTGTCAAAGTGTCTTTGACTATATGGTGATTGATGGTAATCTAATGTTTTCAACCTCAATCCTCTCTATTAATCATGTTTTTCAACAACATGCTTAAATTAGATACGACATTCAAAGGTTCAGACAACATACATGTGGTAACTCAAGGAATGGACCTTTTTTTTTAAAAAAAAAATGTGCCTTCATTTTTCTTAATTATATCAGAAAAGAAACAATTAGATGAAATGAGCAAGGAGATAGACAACACAGATTGTGAAGGTCCTATAAAATCTGGATTAGGATTAAGCAAAATTTGCTACAAGTTTTAATCCATCAAGATGGCTTTGTGAAAAAATCAACTACAACCTAGGAGAGGAAGAGGAGGGAACCGAACCAGTTTGTCTTTCCTCTACTTTCTTTCTTCCTTTTGTAAGCTTTGAAGCCTAAGTACAATCACAATTACAAGAGGTAATGAAGTTACAAACATTAAAAAATGCACCAAAATACAAAAGTATAAACAAAATACGACAGTAAATCAACGGGCAGAAACCTTACATCCGAAGCATTTGTCTTCTGTATAACATCCTTCTTTGTCTTCTGAAAAGTAATGGTAATATGTCAATTGACCCATCAACCGAAATGTAACTTTTAACTGTAGGACTTCATCTTACCAGTCATGGCAGATTGGCAGTCATTACATATGAAAGAGAAAAAGTCAAGCTGAAACTAGCTTAACAAATCTATCTATAATCTATCTATCTATATCTATCTATCTATAACTCTCTTAAAAGGAAGAGTTGTTTCTTGAAACTTTTGAATTGCCAAGAATACCCTCATAAAAAGATAAGTTTTTAAGGTTATTAATGTAATTTTCTTATTAATGTTAGGAAGTTACAACTTCTATTTATTATCTTTTATTTTTTTATGCTTAATTATATCTTTAAGTTCTTACATAAACAAAACATTACCTACGCAAATCCATATATTTTAAATAATAATTTATTCCTAATTATATTATTCTGAATTAATGTACATATGACGTTAGGTTTCGATTTGGTTATTTTAAAGGTAGTTTTAAAATGAAAGAGAAAAAAATATTTTAAGATATTTTAAATATAAAATATATGATATTTCATAAGTGTAAAATATTAATGCACCACTAAAAGTATCATCTTTAATTTCCAAATATCATATTGTTTACCATACAAATTTTTGGTTATAGTAGTAAAAAAATTAAAGAGGAACATTTAGTGAACACACACATGTATAAGAATGATTGAATAATCATTCAACATACAAAATGTTAACTTTCTATGGAAAAAAGTTATTTGTTAAGTAAAAAAGATATGATCTTAACAAAAGTTTAAATTATTCACTAACACAAAATGCATAATATGATTTAAGTTTACTGTTAATAATATGTGTAGTATAAATGCTCTTATGTAATAATGTGTTACATAAATTAAAATAGCATTCACTGAATTGTAATATAAACAAAAATATATAATTTACATAAATAAAATAACTAAAATTCTATTTTAAATCTTAAATTTCACAATGCATGTACTTATTAGAAAATAATTACAATTAAAATTAATTAAATAAAAATAAACATTA